GTGGTTTTTGTCTTTGGTTCTGTTTATGTGGTGAATTACGTTTATAGACTTGCGTATGTTGAACCAGCCTTGCATCCCCGGGCTGAAGCCTACTTGATCATGGTGGATAAGCTTTTTGATGTGCTGTTGCAATCGGCTTGTCAGTATTTTATTGAAGATTTTTGCATCTATGTTCATCATGGATATTGGCCTAAAGTTTTCTTTTCTTGTTGAGTCTCTGCCGGGTTTTGGAATCAGGATGATGTTGGTGTCATAAAATGATTTGGGAAGAATTCCCTCTTTTTGTATTGTTTGGAATAGTTTCAGAAGGAATGGTACCAGCTCCTCTTTGTATGTCTGGTAGAATTCAGCTATGAACCCATCTGGACCTGGGCTTTTTTTGGGTTGTAAGCTCTTAATTGCTGCCTCAACTTCAGAGCTTGTTATGGGTCTGTTCAGGGTTTCGGCTTCTTCCTGGTTTAGGCTTGGCAGGAGGCAAGTGTCCAGGAATTTATCCATTTCTTCCAGGTTTATTAGTTTGTGTGCATAGAGTTGTTTGTAATAATCTCTGATGATGGTTTGAATTTCTGTGGAATCTGTGGTGATATCCCCTTTATCGTTTTTTATTGCATCAATTTGGTTATTCTCTCTTTTCTTTTTTATTAATCTGGCTAATGGTCTGTCTATTTTGTTGATCTTTTCAAAAAACCAGCTCTTGGATTTATTGATTTTTTGAAGGGTTTTTTGTGTCTCTATCTCCTTCAGTTCTGCTCTGATCTTAGCTATTTCTTGTCTTCTGCTAGACTTTGAGTTTTTTTCATCTTGTTCCTCTAGCTCTTTCAGTTTTGACAATAGGGTGTCAATTTTTGACCTCTCCTTGCTTCTCATGTGGGCACTTATTGCTATATATTTTCCTCTAGAGACTCCTTTAAAGGTGTCCCAGAGATTCTGGTATGTTGTGTCTTCATTCTCGTTGGTTTCGAAGGACATCTTTATTTCTGTCTTCATTTCATTGTTTATCCAGTCAACATTCAAGAGCAAGTTGTTCAGTTTCCATGAAGCTGTGCGGTTCTGGGTTAGTTTTTGAATTCTGAGTTCTAACTTGATTGCACTGTGGTCTGAGAGACTGTTTGTTATGATTTCTATTCTTTTGCATTTGCTGAGGAGTGATTTACTCCCAATTATGTGGTCAATTTTAGAGTAGGTGTGATGTGGTGCTGAGAAGAATGTATATTCTGTGGATTTGGGGTGGAGAGTTCTGTAAATGTCTATCAGGTTTGCTTGGTCCAGGTCTGAGTTCAAGTCCTGGATATCCTTGTTAATTTTCCATCTGGTTGATCTGTCTAATGTTGACAATGGGGTGTTAAAGTCTCCCACTATTATTGTGTGGGAGTCTAAGTCTCTTTGTAAGTCATTAAGAACTTGCCTTATGTATCTGGGTGCTCCTGTATTGGGTGCGTATATATTTAGGATCGGTAGCTCTTCTTGTTGCATTGATCCTTTTACCATTATGTAATGTCCCTCTTTGTCTCTTATGATCTTTTTTGCTTTAAAGTCTAATTTATCAGAGATGAGAATTGCAACTCCTGCTTTTTTTTGCTCTCCATTTGCTTAGTAAATCTTCCTCCATCCCTTTATTTTGAGCCTTTGTGTGTCCTTGCATGTGAGATGGGTTTCCTGGATACAGCACACTGATGGGTTTTGGCTTTTTATCCAATTTGCCAGTCTGTGTCTTTTGATTGGGGCATGAAGCCCATTTACATTTAGGGTTAATATTGTTATGTGTGAATTTGATACTGCCATTTTGGTGCTAGCTGGGTGTTTTGCCCTTTAGTTGAGCTGGTACTTGTTGTTCCTTTATATGTGTAGAGCCTCTTTCAGGAGCTCTTGTAGAGCTGACCTGGTGGTGATGAAATCTGTGAGTACTTGCATGTTCCCAAAGGATTTTATTTTTCCTTCACTTATGAAGCTTAGTTTGGCTGGATAGGAGATTCTGGGTTGAAAGTTCTTTTCTTTAAGGATGTTGAATATTGGCCCCCATTCTCTTCTGGCTTGTAGGGTTTCTGCTGAGAGATCTGCTGTGAGTCTGATGGGCTTCCCTTTATGGGTAACCCGACCTTTCTCTCTGGCTGCCCTTAGTATTTTCTCCTTCATTTCGACCCTGGTGAATCTGACAATTATGTGCCTTGGGGTTGCTCTTCTTGACGAATATCTTTGTGGTGTTCTCTGTATTTCCTGGACTTGAATGTTTGCCTGCCTTGCAAGGTTGGGGAAGTTTTCCTGGATAATATCCTGAAGAGTATTTTCCAGCTTGGATTCATTCTCTTCGTCACATTCAGGTACGCCTATCAAACGTAGATTAGGTCTTTTCACATAGTCCCACATTTCTTGGAGACTTTGTTCATTCCTTTTTACCCTTTTTTCTCCAGTCTTTCCTTCCCATTTTATTTCATTGAGTTGATCTTCTACCTCTGATATCCTTTCTTCTGCTTGGTCAATTCGGCTGTTGATACTTGTGCATGCTTCATGAAGTTCTCGTGTTGCATTTTTCAGCTCCATCAATTCACTTATATTCCTTTCTATTTTGTCCATTCTCGTTAGCATTTCGTCATATCTTTTTTCAAGGTTCTTAGTTTCTTTGCATTTGGTTAGAACATGTTCTTTAAGTTCACAGAAGTTTTTTACTACCCACCTTCTGAAGTCTGATTCTGTCATTTCATCACACTTGTTCTCCCTCCATCCTTGTTCCCTTGCTGGTGAGGAGTTGTGATCCCTTGTAGGAGAGGTGTTCTGGTTTCGGGTGTTTTCATTCTTTTTGCACTGGTTTCTTCCCATCTTTAAGGATTTATCCACCTGTCAACTTTGTGGTTGTTGGCTTTCAGATTGGGTCTCAAATCTTTCAGATTGACGTTCTGTTTGTTGACGATGAGGTTATTCCTGTTTCTTGGTTTTCCTTCTGACAGTCTGGCCCCTCTGCTGTAGGTCTGCTGAGGTTCTCTCCAGGCCCTGCCTGCCTAGGGTTCACCTGCAGCAGCTGCTGAACAGTAAGGGTTGTTACCAGTTTTCTTCTTCTGCTATCTTTGTCCCAGAAGGATACCCGCCTAGTGTCAATCTGATCTCTCTTTCATGAGGTGTCTTTGGATATATAGGGGTCAGGGAGCTGCTTGAGGAGACGGTCTCTTCTTTATAGGAGCTCAAATGGTGAGGTGTGAGCTCTGTTGTTGTTCATTCAGAGCTGCTGGGCAGGTACTTTTAGGTCTGCTGCAGCAGAACTCATAAACTGCTTTTTGTTCCCAGGTGCTCTGTCCCAGGGATTTAGGACTTTATTTATGAGTTTCTGTTATGCTGCCGCCTTCTTTTTTTTTTCCCTTCAGACCTGCCCAGCCCAGCAAGGAGGCAGCCTAGTCACTGTTGGCCTATAGAGGCTTTGCTGAGCTGCTGTGGGCTCTGCCCCACTGCCGAGTGAACTTCCCTGCAGTCCTGTTTATATGGGTGTAGTTAGAACTGCTTTGGCGATGCTGGCCCGCCTCTGTTGATGCGGAGTCTGTCTGCTGTGGCGGGTTGCCTTGGCAATGGTGGGCTGCCTCAGCAATGGCGGGTTGCCTTGGCAACAGCGGGCTGCCTCAGCATTGGCCGACTCTGTCCTGGCGGGCTGCCTCGGTAATGGCGGACGCCCCTCCCCCACAGAGCTGGACCGTCCTGGGTTCAGCTGCGCTTGCTGTGAAAGTCTCAATCCAGAGTTTCTGGTTGCTGTTCTTTTGTGGGGGTGGGACCAGCCGAGCCTGATCGCCTGGCTCCCTGCCTCAGAGCCTTTTTTAAGTTTGTGTTCCAGTCGCCTGTTGAAGAGGCACCAGGGTCTGTTTGTTTTCCCCTGCGGCCACTCACTGCGCTGGCTTAAACAGCGACACTGAGGTTTGTGGCGCTTTTTTTTTTTTGCCCTGGAATCTACTGTCCTGGTTCTCTGCTCAGTCGCCTTTTTGAACCGGCGAATGGGCGACTTCCCGTGGCTCCAATCACCAGCCAAAAGGGCACCCGGACCGGTGTATTTTGTACGGAGAACCGCTGCTCCGGGGCGCCGACACGGCAGCCACGCGGGGCAAAGCAGTGGCACCGGCCGGCACAGCCGCGCTGGCCGAAATAGCCGCGCTGGCCGAAATAGCCGCACTGGCGACCGTGGAGCTCCTCCACCTGGGAATTTCCTAGTCTGTGGGCAATAAAAATGCGGTGTCCACTCACCCTTTGCGCTTTCACTGGGAGCTGCAATCCTGAGCTGTTCCTAAATGGCCATCTTGGATCCGACCACTCGTGGCGCTTTTTTGCCCAGGAATCTCCTGGTCTGGCCCCGTTTCAGTCCCCTTTTTAATCAGTTGAATGGTTAACTCTGTCTCCCAGGAGCTCCAATCACCAGCTAAAATGGAGCCCAGACCCATGTATTTTGTACGGAGAACCACCGCGCTGGGGCACTGGCCAAAACAGCCATGCTGGCCAAAACAGTTGCACCGGCCAAAACAGCCACACTGGTGACTCGTGGGGCTCCTTCACCTGGGAATCTCCTGGTCTGTGGGCAATAAAAATCTGTCTGGAAATGCGTACCCTCTGTGCTTTCACTGGGAGCTGCAATTCTGAGCTGGTCCTAATCGGCCATCTTGGATCGAGTCTCTCCATTTAAGCCATTTTTTAGTGTAGAGCTCAGTGGCATTAAATATATTCACATTATTGTACAACCATTAACAGTATCTATTTGCAGATTTATCTCATCATCTCAGACTGAAATTGTAGGCATTAAAC